GTCTATAGTGACTAATAGTTTTGCTGGGTGAGTCCCTGTTAGGCGTAGCCATTGGGAATCCCTTGGGGGTCCCAGGTGGGAAGTCTCTAGTTATCAAGGAATTGATGAGAAGGAATGGGAATGGTCTGGAGAGCTGAGAGAGTTCACAGGAAGGAGGAAAGCTGTGTGCACACCAGGTTGAGGCAGAGTGCCCTGGGAATGGAGGTGGTGTGGAAAGAGAAGCTCCTACCAGCTACAGTGCTGGGGGTGGACGCTGCTGGGTTGACTTCCTCAGAATGCAAGTTTGCTTAATCTGTTGCAGTTTGGGAGGGTTTGTTGATACTGTTGAGTCTTTTTTTTTCTCTATTCTAATAAAATTAGTTATAAAAGTGGGAGTAGTCATTCCTGTGTGAAAATTAAGAGAAACAGATCTACAAATTTCTAGGTTGGAAAAGCCCCTTCCAGGATCAGTCGATAGCTCTTCATAAAATCTGTGGTTTGGAACCACACACATGGAAGACTGGGCCACAGTCCTGCCAAAGGACTCATGAACAAACCGAAAAAATATCATACATGGCTATTGCCACAGATGGGAATATTTGGTATTTTGAGTTTGAACATCTGCAAAACTGACTGAGTTCTTCATCTGGGTGTGCTGGCATTGTGACACCAACAATTTGGAATCCTTACTTTTCCAGAGCTAATGCGATCAGATCTCTCTCTCTCTCTCTCTCTCTCTCTCTCTCTCTCTCTCTCTCTCTGTGTGTGTGTGTGTGTGTGTGTGTGTGTGTGTGTGTGTGTATGTGTTCCTCCCTCTCTTTGGGAACTGGCTGATAAATGACAAGATACCTGTGGTCTCAATTCCCCTCACTGACATCGCTGTCATCATCTGAGTGTGTCTGCCCCTCCTCCAATTTATGCAAAAGTCTAAACTTCCAAGATAGTGCAGTAAGAAGGCCAGAACTTTAAGAACTGGTTAGGTCATGAGGGTGATGTCTTGATCAAGGAGCCCCAGACTCCCTCAGCCTGCTTTTGAGTGAGGACGGTGAAAAGATGTCCCCACCAGATAACAACTTTCCCAGCTTGGCCTTCCTAGCCTCTAGATCTGTGAGAAATAGGTTGATATTATTTGCCAACCTCCCAGTCTACTTTGCTATAGCAAATCACACAGATCAAGACAGAAATTTGCTGCCAAGATTGTGCTGATGTAACAGATACCTGAAAATATGGATGTGGCTGTAGAACTGGGTAATGGTGGAGCCTGAGAATGTTCCCCGTGTCTGTTAGAAAAGTCTACACTGCCTTGAATAAACAACTGTGGCAATTGGAGGCAAAGCTTAGAAGAGAGAAGGGAGAGGAGAGGCGAGGTGAGACAAGGAGAGGAGAGGAGACGAGGGGAAGGGTGGGGAGGGGAGAGGGAGATAAAGTGGGGGAGACAAAGGAGAAACCCTCCATCTTCTTAAAGAATACCTTTTAAATTTTTCAAAGAAATGTGGAGGAGCTGGAGAGACAGCACAGCAGTCAAGAACACTGGCCAACCTCCCAGAGGACCTGGCTCAACCCTCAGCCCTCACATGGCAGCTGTCAACCAGCTGTCACTCCAGCTCCAGGGGACATCAGGGAACTCCTTGGATATCAGGCATGCACATGGTAAACAAACAGTCAAAACATATTAAATAAATACCTTTTTAAAAGAATATTTGGTACAAGGAGGCCACAGGTAGAAGTGAAGAAGAACTTAGTTGAAATATATTCAAGTCCTAACGTTTTATAGAAGGTAGAATTTCTGAACCACTAAATTGGATATTTGGTTGAGGGAATGGCTAAGTACTGAAGGAATGCCTTGGTCCCTCTGTGATAGTAGACTGTAAGAAGTTAAACAAAAAGATTTGAGGACAGACTTGTTATTAATGGGGAAACAGAAGAGCTGGTCAAGGAGAAAGCCTGTTTGGAAGAGATGGTGTGGTCACGTGACCTTCCAATATTAGTCATCCAGCAAACAGATGCAAAGACGTACCAAGACACAGAATGACCCCAAGACAGTTCAGAGAACACTGGGGCTGCTCATCCTAAGTCCTGGGTGTAAAATCCCAGAGAGAATCTGCTATTAAGATGATTGCAACCTTAAGAGTGAGACCGCCCAAGAGATTCTAGACAAAACCAACGGCGAATGAGCCCTTTCCGATGGAACTCTTAGAACATAACCTGAAGCCCCGGTGTGGTGCTACAAAACCAGCAGGGCCAGGCCCTGCTGCTGCGGAAGGGCAGCTGCCAAGGTCATGGAACAGGTGGAAGGCGGCATCACAGGTCCAGGAGCCTGGAAGGCAGAACACAGAACTAAAGAAGCTAATTCTTCAAATGTGAGGCTTGGTCTCTGGGAGACCCGGCCCATTGTTTCTTCTTTGCAGCGTCTCTTGTTTGGAACTGGACTTTCTGTCCTCACCTTTCCCATCGCTGTGTTTTAGAAATACCTAATGTGTCTGATTTCACATGCTCATAGCTGAAAAGCGCTTGGGCGCAATACCAATCAAGCCTCCGTTTTGTCTCACTCACATCTGACTTAGGTGAAATTAGAGACAGTGAACTTGGAACTTGGAGCTGACGCTGAAATGGCTTAATACTTTTGAGGATGCTGGGATAAAGACAGGAGTTTGGGGGTCATGAGAAGAATATGGCAGACTGAATGTTTGTGTACTCTGAAGTTTATATGTTGAAATACTTACCCTCATGGTGGGGACATTAGACAATTAGAAAGTTGGAAGGTAAAAGAGGTAAATAGCCTATTTGAGATGCCAGGGAGCCAGCGTGCCCCTTCCACCAAGGCAGGGTAGGAAAGACATTTAATTAAGAAGTGAGCCCTCGCCAGGCACTGAATATGTCAGAACCCTGACCGTGGACTTTACAGCCTCTAAAACTTTGAGAAATAAACCTCTCTTGTTCGTAATCCACATAGCTAGGGATATTTCGTTACAGAAGACCAAACAAACTATTCAGAAAGCTTCTTCAGAAGTCACAGATCACACAGACAGGGTTGCTGTGGGAGGTCCTTCTGCAGATGTGTCGCTTTTACTGGCTGATGAATAAAGCCATTTCGGTAAACTAAGGCAGAGTAAGATAGACAGAGAGAGAGAAGGCAGAGTCAGGGAGACACCATGGAGCCAGACGCCAGAGAAGCAAGATGTGAGGTAACAGGCCACAAGCCTCATGGTAAATTATAAACTATAGAATTAAGTTAATTTTATACTTAGAACTAGCCAGTAAGAAGCCTAAGACATTGACCAAATAATTGTAACTGATAAACCTCAGAGTGGTTCTTTCATAAGCAGCTGTGGGAACTAGTGAGCAGGACCCAATGGGTAGAGAGAAACCAGTCCAGGGGGGCTGAAGAGACAGACAAAAGTGACCCAGCAACAAAGGGTTTCTTTATATAGCCCTGGCTGTCCTGAAACATTCTCTATAGATTGGGCCTCACAGAGATCTATTTACTTCTGCTGGGATTTACAAGTGCTGGGATTAAAGGCATGTGCCTCCTTACACAGTGGATGGAGCACTTTTATGTATATGTATGTAAAACCATGCTCTGATGGGCAATCAGGAATCATGCACGCACACACACACACACACACACACACACACACACAAATACACCTGTGTAACATGAGGGCCTGCTTGTTGGGGGTTTCTGTCCCACCTGGTCCTCCAGCTGTTTAGTCTCCCCCAAAAAATCACACAGAGGTCTCCATAAGTTATAAACTGATTGGCCCATTAGCTCAGGCTTCTTATTAGCTCTATAACTTATATTAACCCATTGTTCTAGTATATGTTAGCCACATGGCTCAGTACCTTTTTTGGTAGGGCAGGTTATATCTTGCTTTTTCGGTGTCTGGACAGGACTGGGGGAAGAGCTTCCTTCTTCCCAGAATACTCCTGCTCTCATTGCTCTGCCTCTACTTCCTGTCTGATTGTCCAGCCTATACTTCCTGCCTGACTACTGGCCAATCAACATTTATTTAAAACATAATTGACAGAATACAGAATTGTCTGAGTCACGCACGTGCATGCATGCCCATGTCATTTTCTTCTTTATTGATATTTTCATAGATTATTTTCAAAAATAAAATTTATTCTCTTCAAGGTCTTATTGTGAAAGAATAAACTTAATAGAGAAGGTTAACATTGACAATAGGTTTCAAAACATAAAAGGTTAGAAACTGAATGCTATTTAAAAAAAGGTACACCTATGGACAAAACTAAAGACCCACCTTGTGTATGTTACACATCTAGGCTTGGCGGTAGTCCATCCATATTCCCTGTCTTTGTCTCTGCCTCTGTGGATATTACACAGAAATGCAGCAGTGGTGGTTTGAATGACCCCAACAACATTACATGTTTGAATGTTTGGCCTATGGGAAATGACACTATTAGGAAGCATGCACTTGTTGGAGTCGATGTTGTCTTGTTGAAGGAAGCATGTTACTGTGGAGGCAGGCTTTAAGGTCTCATATGCTCAAGCTACTGCCAGTGTGTGATATAGCCTACTTCCTGTTGCCTGTGGATCAAGATATAGAATTCTCTAGCACCATGTCTGCTTGCATGCTGCCATGCTTCCTACCATGATGATGATGGATTAAATCTCAGAAACTATAAGCCAGCCCCAATTAAATGTTTTCCTTCATAAGAGTTGCTATGGCCATGGTGTTTCTTCACAGTAATAGAAACCCCAAGCATTTAGTACAAGTTGAACTAAATGCTAAGACTTTACAAAGCTGACTAGGTGTTCCTGAGTAGAAGCATCTCCAAGTGTTCAGCTGTGTAAAGAAGAGACTGTGAGTGAGGGGTTTGTACTGTGTTGCTGGGAAGGGCTCTGAAGACAAGATGGACCAGAAGATCTTTTTTTTATGTCACACGTTTATTTACAATTTTATTTAGTAATAAGAGTTCAAGAGTTTAATCCAATTTTCATATCACATCTCCTAAACAAATTTCATTCTGTTAAAGGGATGAATTAAATATCCTCATTTTTAAAGAAGCTGGTGCCTTACAATGAAGAAAGAAGCAGCAAATCCAGATCCAAAGTACACACTCATCATCGCCAGTAACCGCCACTTATTTTCCACTGAAAATGGAAAATTCTTCCCTGGGCCCTCCTCATAATGGCTACAATGAACCACAGAGGTGGTGAACCTCTGGACACTCTGGCCCAACATGGCACTCCTGGAAGCTCAGAGAGGGGCGCAGAGGTGGAAGGTGGAAAAAAATGGACCAGAAGATCTTTAAATAACAAGGAAGCATGCCATGTCAGGAAGTGTCCTCCTCAGGGTTCCTACTTCCAGATTTCCTTCCTTGAGTGCCTTCGCTATCTAATCTTACTAATTTTTCTAAATTCAGATCAAAGCACACGGTATCCCAGCTATACCTCTAACTAGGTACTTTCTAGCGTTTTGAAAAAAATCATCCTTGCATTTCTCCCTCTGGAAATCCCAGCGGCCTTCAGTTCCCCTTGCTACCACCTTCTTATGCTCTCGTGAGGCCAAGACTTGACATCTCGCCAGTTTCTCTCTCACTCCTGCGACATAATAGGCATGTGGGAAGCTCACGACTTTCCCTGACACCACGTGTCCTGGCCATCCACTTCCTTACTTCCTGCTCACCACGTTCTGGCTGTGTGAGCATGGCAGTGGGAACCTGGTTTGGAAGTGTGACCTCTTCATTCCTCATTGCTAATCCAGAAAATGCTTCTCAGGTCTTCCCTACATCAGATCTCAGGACAGACTCTTGAAATCAGGGACTTGCCTTTCAGCCTTCTCTTCTGCTGACCTTAGCAGCATGTCAAGTTCTCAGCTTCCCTCTGATCCCACAGTGCCTTCTCAGGCCACGATTTAGGAATTCCTCCCTTTTCTGACCTGAAATGTGTGATTTCTTCCCTTTGACGCTCAGCTTTTCTTCTCCCCTCACTCTGTCCACCCCATGTGGGTGAGATCATCCACACCCACGTCAGGTCCTTCTCTCTCTGTGGTCCACACCTCTCTCAGGAGTGTCCCAGGCCTCCTCCCAAAGGCATCACAGCCATGATCTAAATTTATCACCACACTGAGTCTCACTGTATTGGAGGATGGCAGACAATCATTCTTATATTCATTTCTATTTGCATGATTCGTGTCCATTTTTTCTCCAAGGGGACATACTTTATATTTAAATCAAGAAAAAAAGCATAATAGAAAATATCTCTAAACTAAAATAAGGAATACTTCTACCAAATGTTAATTATATACATGCAGATGATATCATGAATACCATTGCTTTGTTTGATCACTTAAAATCAATGAAAAGTAAGTAAATATAATTTGGAGTCCATCTGAAAGCAGTTTTGTGCAGAATGGCTTCTCTGTAAACTTTATTAAAAACTTTAAAGATGCCTTTATGTGACTTTTTACCTTGTGTGTTTACAATGTGTGTTTGGGACTCCCTTACAGAGAATCCATTAGAATTTGTAGAGAGTAGGCATCTGCTGTTGGCAGTCTGTACTTAGAAAGATTCTCCACATTTTCCATGACTAAAGTCTGTAGACAAATTTGGACAAATTAGATCAGTTGTTACCTGAGATAAGATTGCCTGGTTTCCTTCCCTAAAGTCAACAATAATCTTAGCTGGTTCACATCCAGCTCCAGCTGACGATGGGTGGGGAGGGTACGGGACTGTTGTGCCCGAGGAAGATCCACTTGATTTAGCATATATTAACTCCAATGCAAAATCGTTACAATTGAGTCTAACAATAATTTCCCTCAGTATAAGAGAAAAACCAGGGCAGATAAGAAAAAATAGAGACATCCCTCTCCATAAGAGTGAAGACAGCCCAGTATAGTAGATATCCTTGTTGAATATCCCAGAAGCCTAAAATTGGGCTTGGCATACAACAGCGGCTCAATTTTTGCTTCCTGTGTTGTTATTTAAGTATCATATAATTTTTCAATGTCACAAAATATTATTATTCTTTTGAAAATTTCAGCCACTTAAAATGTAGACACCATTCTTCCCTCTTAGAAGGGCTTCGTTTGGCCCATAGCCGGCCACCTGCTCAGCTGCGCTCATGTCCATGCACATGATGACAGCCTGAAACCATCCTTGTAAGCAACGCCACCCAAGAGTTTCTCTGGGCACCACGCTGACAATGACATCGCTGTGCAGAAGGTCCCTGTGGCTCCATACAGACCAGAGCATCAAGTTCATGCTGATTGGCATGAACGCAATGTGTGCTCATGACGGAAGCCAAGGGGCAGGCTCAGTCATTCTCCTCCACATGGTCCAATACCTAGCTGAGCCAGGTTCCCCAAGGGGTCTACTCTACCCCACCCCACTCCTTTGCCAGCATTGTTCTGTCTACCTAAACTGCCTCCTCAACCCTCATACTTCTCTCCTCCTGTGAGAAATCTTCCCTTTCTTCTGCCTTCGCTCTCCAGCCAACTGTAACTGTTCCCTTAGCCTTGCATCTCCAGCAATAGATGCTGCATTTGAAATGTGTTAATAGATTCTGCTCCCTATAATAATTATGTAGATGATCTTCTGCTTCATGACTTAATCAGCTCAATGTCAGAAACGGCATGCTCTATGTTTAGTGAAGTCCCTGCCTAAAAATGGCTCAGAATAGAATCACTTAAAGAATCTGAAAAGCCCTTTGCAATTTCACAAAACAAGAAAATAAGTAGTTTTCATATTTCAGAGTCTCTTCTAAAATGAAGCTGTAGATAATAGGAGAGAAAGAAGACATTGTTTCTTTTATTAAATCGACTTCCTATTCATCTTATAAAAAAGGTTTCGAAAAATCAAGTTATTGAAGCTTAATTAACTGTTATAATTGGCTATAAATGAAAGGCTCCCAATTAGCTGTGAATTGAGTGAAGGCAAAGGCGTCTTGTCAAGACAGACTCCCCGGACCCTAACAATAGCTAGAGGCAATTAGCCACACGTGTTCACGAAGCACAACAGAGAAAGTGAACTTAAACTTAGCTGAACAGGTCAGGGAGCAAATCCTCTGTGCTGAGAAGTAGAAACCACCAAAGCATAATCACAAGCTACTCAGAGAGAACCTGGCCATGCACAGGAACTGCTAGAATGTTCTGGCTTCCTTTGAATTCATCTTCATTTCCCTAATACAAGGTGGTAATTGTCTCATTCCTTCTGGGACCATCGAGATATCACCAAATAATAGTAAGAGTAGTTCATTGTATAAACCCAAACTGGTAGCTAGAAGCCAACTACCTGTAGTAATAGAAAGAAAGAAACTTTTCCTTGTCTCACACAGGCACCTTGCTGCTTAGCACATCCCTTCTGAGGCCATATCGTGCAGGGGTGGTGTCCCGACACATGAGGCAATTCTTTGGCTCACCTCCAGCAGCATGTCATATAATTTAATTAGATTCTGGCACTATCTACCTGGAGTTAGAGTCAGACCCCAGAGTTTAAAGGCTCAAGGCTCCGACATATTTCAAATGCTAATTGCTATTTTGGGATTCGGAACTTCGGAACTTCAGAACTTGTATATGTTAGAACTTCTCATGCTCCCTGCTTCAGGTTCAGACAATTTCTAGAATGGCCCTCAGAACTTAACAGTTTACTTACATCTACCCATTTATTACTAAGGGATATAGCATTCAGATAGAGATGCCAGTGGTAAGATATGAGGAAATGGGCCCAAAGTCTCCGTGTCCTCTTGGGGTATTTGCAGAAGCATCAGTGCATAATAAAGTTTAATCAAATCACAGATAATGATCAATAGTTATTCAATCAACTACCAGCTCCTTCAGGTCAGGGAACCTCTAATCAATAGCTGGTTCCCTGGTGCCTTAGTTACTTTTCCATCGCTGTGATAAAACATCACCACCAAGGCAACCTTATAAAAGGAAGGGATAATCTGGACGTCCAGGAGTTCATTGCCATTGTGGCGGGGAAGCCTGGCAGCAGGCAGGCATGGCACCTGGAGCAGAGGCTGAGAGCCCATATCCTGAACAGCAAACATGAAACAAAGAGAGGAAACTCGAAATGGCACACATCTTAAAACTCCCAGAGCCTCTGTCCAGTGACATGTCCGCCAGCAAGGCCACACCTCCTCTGCCTCCCCAAACAGCATCATCAACTGGGATCCAGCAGCCTGTGGCGGATGTTCCCACTTGAACCATCACACCTGTTAACCAGCATCTAAAACCCTTGCTGTCAGTCCCTTCTTTGCTGTACATAAAGATGCTTCTGTTTCCAAACATTCATGTGTGGGGAGCTATGCTCCAGAAAAGGGATATGGATAGTACATGGGGACAAAGACCCAAATCATTTCTTGTTGTGTCACAGTAGCCACGATGTGAAAATTTTACTGGGGTGTGGCGTTTCTGACCCAATTTGCTAGAAGATTTAACAATGAACACTGAATATGTGCTTATGGCTTTTTTTTTTTTTTTACTTTTGATTTGCTTGACGGGCGTGCTACTATTTCAGTGGGTGGAGTTACAAAACAAGCAATAAAATGACCAAAGACAAACAGAGTGAGATCACTCAAAGACTCTGAAAGTTAGCTGAACAATGTGATTGGGTAGACTGAGGTCAGGTTAGTGAACAGCTACCAGCCGACGTCATCACAGGAAAGCGTTTATTGGGGAAGACATTTCAGGCATAACTTCCACCATGTAAGTAGTTCTCCTAGTTAGGGCTTCTATTGCTGTGAAGAGACACCATGACCATGGCAACTCTTAAAAAGGAAAACATTTAACTGAGTAGCTTGCAGTGCAGAGGTTTAGCCCATTATCATCATGGCATGACATGGCGCCGTGGAGAAGGAGCTGAGAGTTCTACATCTTGATCCACAGGCAACAGGAAGTTAACTGTGTCACTGGGTATAGCCTGAGTGGAGGAGAGCTCAAATCCCGCCTCCACAGTGACACACTTCCTCCAATAAGGCTACACCTCCTAATAGTGCCACTCCCTTTGGGAGCCATTTTCTTTTAAACCACTACAGTAGTCAAGAATAAGTCGGCCCTTAAAACAACATGCCGTCTACTGTGGTGTGCAGAGGCAGAGATGTGGAGTTCCTTGAAGGGAAAGACTGGTTCCAGAGTCCTGTGTTAGTTAGATGTCTGGACAAAATGGAATGGGAATGAAAGTCTGTGAAGACACTCTGGGGAGAGTTTCATGCAGCTGTGGTAAGCCAGCATCACCCTAAAAGTCTGTGAGCAGCAAACTTTGAGTCTTACCTAATAATTATTTTTTGCCTTTTTCCTTTTATTGAATAATTTTTTCTCACATACTGTATTCAGATTATAGTTCTCTTCCCTTTACTCTTCCCAGTTCCTCCCGGCCTCTCTTCCATCCTCATCCATCCCCTTTCTGTCTCTCACTAGAAAACAAACAGGCTTCCATGGAATTATAACAAAACATAATATGATAAAACAAAACCAACACATCAGCGTTAGACAAAATAAACCAATAGAAGGAAAAGAACCAAGAAGGTACAAGAAACACAGGCCCACCCGTTTGCACTTAGGAAACCCCATAGAAACACTAAGCTGGGAGCCATAATAAGCAAGGGACCTGTGGGGTAAAAAGAGAGAAGGAAAAATAGGTAAGTAAAACAAAATAAGAATAAAGAATAAAAATGATAATTTTTGTTTTGTTTTTTGTTAAAGAAACAGTCCTGATATGATTTTATGAGATAAGGAACTTCCAAAGATGTTACTGAATTCATTTCCTATTGACCATCTATGCTGGGCATCTAAATTTTCATTTGTAGGTGGTGATCAGCTGAAGATAGCTCAGGACTAGAGATGAGGGCATGTGTCTACTCCTTCCAGCTCTAGGACCCCGTGTGATGCAGACCCATGCAGACCCTGCGCACGCTCCCTCAGTCTCTGTGAGTTCATGTGTGCATCAATCATTATTTAGAGAGCCTTTTTTTGTGCTTGCTTCGGCAGCACATATGCTAAGACTGGAAGAATACAGAGAAGATTAGCATGGCCTCTCCACATGGATGGACACAAGTCTGCAAAGCAGTACATAGTTTCCACAGAAGAGGCTGAGAGAGTGCAAGGCCACAGGGGATGGAGGACACCAAGAAAACAAGGTCCTCTGATAACTATTAAGAAAAGAATGAGTGCGTAAGAAAAGGGGGAAATGTACTGGATTTCTAGGCTGCTTTTTACTTTACTAAAACTTCATTTCACACCTTTGATTCCAGTACTTGGGAGGCAGAGGCAAGCAGATCTCAGTGAGTTCGAGGCCAACCTGGTCTTCAAAGTGAGTTCCAGGACAGCTAGCACCATTACACAGAGAAACTCTGTCTCAAACAACAACAACAACAACAAAAAAAAACCCTTCATTTTATTTAATAACTATTCTAAGCTGATATTTGACAAGTCCACTAAGGAGACAAAAATAATTAGCTGATTGTCATCTTTGACATAGGAACCTAGAATATGTGGTAGGGAATAATATTTGGAATATATGTGTTATAATCGTTATTTTAGTCTGTGCTACTATTCCCTTTTTTTCTCAAAGAAAAAGTTAGTTTTAACACCTGCAAACCCCCACTCCCGCACCAAAAGGCAAGCATGGTGGTTGATGCTTATAACCCAGACACTCACTCCCCGAGAAGCTGAGGCAAGAGGACCATGGGTTCAAGGCCGCATGAAATGATCAAACAGAAAAAACAAGAATAAAAACTATGGCATTGGAAATAAACAGAAACCAGAGAAGTGAACAAAACATAGAAATCCAGAAGATGAGACATGCTGTGGGCTAAGGGGAATTAGAGAATGAAGCCGAGAAAGGGCCAAGGTGGCTTGAAGAAGATTGCTTTCCTGTAGAGAGGCCACAGGGTGGAGGGAAGGAAGATGGCTCCAGTTCCCAGGACAAGAGAATGTCAAGTTCTGTGTGGGAGCAGCGGTCCTTCCTAGGGAGCCAGGGAGGGAGGGAGACCACCGTGGTAATGGGGTGTAAGACTGACCAAGGTGAGATCACCGTGGTAACAGAGTGTAAGACTTACCGTGGTGAGACCACCGCAGTAATAAAGTATAAGACTCACCGTGGTAATGGAGCGTAAGAATCACTGCAGTGAGACCACCATGGTAACAGAATGCAAGAATCACCACGGTAAGCCCACCGTGGTAACAGTGTAAGACTCACCAAGGTGAGACCACCGTGGTAACAGTAAGAATCACTACAGTGAGTAGATTGTTATGATCCAGAACTGACTGCTAAATGTCTCCTGAAGTCTGAAGGAAATGCAGACACATGCCACACATGGTAAAGTCCCTCTGTGCCAGTGGGAAGGCATGGGCACAGCACAGAAAACCTGTCGCCAGAGAGCATGCGCCTGTGGAGAGACTTTACAAGCGTTCCTGTGAAAGGTATTGTTTGAGGGCTGGAGAGATGGCTGTGGTTAAAACCTCAACTGCTCTTCCAGAGAACCCAGGTTTGGTTCCCAGCATCCACATGGTGGCTAACAAAGATCTGTAAATACAGTTCCAGAAATCACATGACTCCTCTGACCCCCGTGGGCACCAGGCTTGCATGTGGTACACAGACACATATCCAGGTAAGACACTCATGCACATTTTTAAAAAATTAAGGCTTTGAATTTCATCTAAGTAAAGTGGTAATAATTCAGAGTGACACAATTTGTTTCATATCAAATCCTGTGATATAAAAGCCATAGAAAAACATCAGACTTGTATAGACAGTAGGGATGAAGGTAACTTGTCATCTCAACAGTGGCGTGTGGGCAACCAGTGGTGATCAGAAGAGGAAGCTCTCACAGCCATAGCCAGGGCTATGGAGAGAGATCCTGTCTCAAAAACCAAGAGAGAAAAAAGAGAAAGGAAGAAAGAAAAGCGCCTAAGCCATACACTGGATATAGATGAGGGGGGAGTCAGAGAAAGAATAAGTGGAGACAAAAATTTTAGGAGATCCTTCTACACCTCTGTATTAATTTCAGACAAGGCAAATTCTGAATAAGAAAGGTTAGGTGTGAAGCCAGCATTGGACAAGGACGAGGGGGTCAGTTCGTGAAGTCATGAAGAATACGTAACAACGCATGCGTAGTTGCTTGGCGATAGGGTGTTCGCTTAGGCGAAGGAACTGTGGCAGAGTTACACAAAGCCAGTGGGTCCACTATCACAGCCGGAGACTTTCGGTGCTGGGCACGGCTGTATCTAAGGCGAGGGAGGAGTGAGAGTGGCCGGGAGGGGCAGGTGCAGCAACTGTGCAATTTAGTCCCCAACAATGTGATGATGCAGTGGTTTGGTGGTGGGAATGGTGGGCCACCAGGTGGGGGTGTTTCCGTGGTGGCATGGTGCAGAGGTGGAGGCATGCCGTGGCTCCTGTCTCCAGAAGAGGGCTCATTAACCGTGGTCCTGGTCCCACGATACCACAGCAGAGTTATCACACTGTTCACGGGAAGCAGGGCACGCCTACCAACTCCTCCTCTGGAGACAGTGGGTCTGTCAGATTCCAGTCAGCTTTAGAGACCACAGAGGACCACAGAGGCCTGTCAGTGTCCAAGGTGGGTCCAGTCCTCTGATGGTCACAGACACCGTCCTTTATTTGGTTTGTCAGAAGGTGACAATTTATTCTTTGCTTTAGCTGTCCTTGTGGGAGGAGGTGGGCACTAAAGACGTCATCTTATTGACATGACTCCACCAAGAGCTCTTAAATGTCAAGAGTAAGAAAATGAAGAACTCACTTAAAAGGTCGGCAGACTTTAGCAGTTCGCCCAAGAGGATATTCAGATGGAAAGCAAGAGATGCTGTGTGATTTGCCACCAGGGAAATGCAAATCCAATCAACAACACGATCCTATGGCGCTTCTGTGAGAATGGCCAAGTACAAACCCATTACTCGACACTGGAGATAAGAGCAACCCCTTTCATCCATTGTGGGCGGACTAAAAGTTTGGCAGCTTCCAACAAACACACCCACACTTTACAACAATCATGCTTTTGTGTTTACTCAGAGGACTTGGAAATTTATGTCCACCCATCGATGTGGATGGATAGCAGTTTTATTCATGATCCAGAACTTGGAAGCAACCAAAGATAGACTGTGGCCTGTCCAGACAATGGGATTTTATTCAGCAAGTCATTCTCCGACCTACACACAAATAAATAAACCAATGTAAATAACAAAAAAAGCTATCGTGGCTTCTGATGTACATTTAACTTAATAAAATAAGAATTTTCGTGTCTAACAACAAGCTCTTATTTTCTTCAGAAACACAGAAAATTACTCTGAGTGAGCAAGGTTTCAACTTCGCATTTCACCGTCTCCAAATGTGGGCAGTTCCTCCAGCCTCTTAATTATCAAGAGATTCGTCGGGTCTTTAATGTTACTCTTCTAATTGCCTACATCCTAGAAATAGCATTTTAGATCTACTGTTTGTCCTTAAGCTACGGCTGGTGAGCAAATAACCTGAGTTCCGCTTGTTCTAGCACATGCTGCAATGAATGAACAGGGTTGGTGCTGACACCTACTGGTAGGAGAGGGGATGAGTTGCCACTCGCAATCTTTTCGGACAGCGTTGGAAGCTGGACAATCAACCAAGTTGCTGGTGGGACCCCGGGAGAACCTTACCTGTCATCCTGAAAAGGGATGACATCCTTAAACATTTGAGATGGACCTGGAAGTTTCTGGAAATGGAGGATAAATGAATGTCAAGAGAGCGTCTAATTTTTCACCGACGAGCTTTCCTGGGGGCTCTAGTGTTTTTAGCAAACCCTAACGCTTTGTCTTGCATTGTTCCTCTCCTGTGGCACCTTACAAAGCACTGCAGGGCTTCAGAACTGTTTCTCAGGGATGGCGGCGGAGGTGGGTGGGAGGGGGGTGGAGGACGGAAGTACGAAAAGCTTCCTTTCCCTTGCTTTTCTTGCCCCAGCGCGTCGGCCTAGATTCTAAACTGGCTACCTTTCAGCCATCGTCAGTTTTCCTCTAGAGATATTTTCCAGCACAAGTCGGGTCATAGCTGTTGCATTATGTCACGCTGTCTATTTTAAAAGCCGTGTATCATGTGAGGTGCCACACTTCATCACCTCACAGTTACTCAGGTGTCCCGTGAATAGCTGCAACCTAGAGTGGTTGGAAGCGACCCAGAATGCAGTCACAATCAAATGGAAACACGCACAGCTTAGTTAAGGGCTCGGTGGGGCGCAATTGTTAGTCAGGAATTCCTATAAAACTCGAAAAAAGACGTCAGTATCTGACACTATTCATCAACTCAAAAGGGGTTTGGGCAGGTCTGGAAGGCTAGACTAGAACTCAGGAGCTTTGATATACAAAATCACATACCCCCACCTCGGCCAGCCCTTCCCCAACACCCCAGGTAATGTCCCTACCTGCTTTCCCAGTTGTCTTCCTGGGTTCCTGCTCCTCACCCACCGGACCCTCTCCACCTGATGGGTTATGCATCCGAAAACAACATTCCTGTTTCTAAGAACTGGGAGGGGCTGGCTACACTTTTCCCCAAATAAAGAACTTCCTAAGCTGCCTCATGGCTCTCATCTTAGAACTTGGGAGACTGAGGTAAGTAGCTGGCCGTGGGTTCCAGGCCAACCTTGGCGACACAGTGAGCGCTTGGCTAGCCAAGGCCGCAAATGGAAGCCGGGATACAGGAAAAGAGAAGTGAAGGTAAAAAGAAACTCAAAATTGGGCACATATTTAAGTGTAAAAGGCAAAGCATAAAAAAATTGGTATACTCTTTCCCTTTATTTTGTTTGCAGAGCAACTCAAATGAATCAGTTCATCACATTGTAAGTTTCTGAATTTTTCTAAGTATCTTGAGTACTTACAGTGGGAGTCACTTGTGAACAGAGGATATAGGGACTGAACAAGCTCGAGGGTTTAAGCCCTTCAGGGTAGGAGCATGGGAACCCTTGTGTGCATACAGGCGTCATCAAAGCACTTCCGTACTACTGCTCCTCTAGGTCGGCATTTCCGGAACCCACCCTTCACGGTAACACCTTTCACAGGGACCATTTTACGGTCATTGAAACAAACACCTTTACTGAGTGTGGCTGGCAGACGAGTGTTGCAGGTTGCTGAGTTCTTTCTGCTGTGGTTACACTGTTGTAGCGAAGGCTTAAACACGGGGACCCAGATATCGAGTGCCCAGGATGGAAGCCCTGCTTCTCCAACGTTAGGACCTGAGTCTTCCTGTTGTTTATTCCGGCCTCAGTGGCTGTTCCCTTAGCTGATAAGCTGCACTGGAGGGTACTGCTAACAATGCTTAGCTGCTGTTCTGTTGCTGTGAAGAGAACATGGCCAACACAACTCTCATTAAAGAAACCATTTCATTGGGGCTTGTTTACAGTCTAGAGACTTAGTCCGCTATCATCATGGTGGGAAGCTTGGAGCTGGAGCAGTAACAGTTACACCCTGATTGGGGGAACCTGAGCCCGGCATGGCTTTTGAAATCTCAAAGCCAACCCCCAGTGACAGACACACTTCCTCCAACAAGTACACACCTATTCCAACAAAGTCACGCCTCCTAAATCCTTCTAGTCCTACCAAATAGCTCCGTCACCTAGTGACTAAGTATTCAAATACATGAGCCTGTGGGGGTCGTTCTTATCCAAACCACCACAAATACCTAACCTATCCTTGGCATTTCTCATGGTCTCAGCTACCACAAGCTGCAGACTTAAATACAATAAGTAACTTAGCAAATTCTGTCTGATCATCAAAGAAATACTTCAGTTATTGACACATTTAGCTGGTGTCAATTAGGAAGCGCCAGTTTTAGAAGATGCCTGATTGACTGATACGACCTCATTAATAATGGGATATTTTAGGGTTATTAACATTCCAGAAATCCCTTTCTGGAATTATCATTACTTTCTCTTCCCTCCCTCCCACTCCAACCCCATTTCCCTTCCCCTCTTTCTTCACATCTCCTCCTGCCTCCTCCCCTTCCCTTTTGTTGTTTAGTTTGTTTCATTAGCTTGTGCTGGGGGTGGAATCCGCAGTCTTAGGCACTTAGACAAGCCTCTTCCACTGAGTTACAGTACCACATGCCCTGAATTCTCCGTGTGTGGTCTATGTCATCTGTGAACTGCTGCTTCTTCTTTCCGGTTCCTGTACCCTTAACTGCTCTGCCCATCCCAGTACATTCCTAGAACCCCAGTACAAGACCAAGAAGAAAAGGGAACTGTGAAGTCTTCGCCTTTGCTTGTGTACGGCATGGGGAAACTTCTAGTTTCTCACTGTTAACCTTGATGTTTGCTTTAGTGTTTTTTTTAACAACATTTCATTCTTTGAGGATTTCTTACAATGTATTTTTTTTTTAATATATTGACTCCTCTCCTTAAATTACTCTCATAACTACCTTTCCACTGTATCTGTGGTTGATACTGTTGATCAAGATGAGGGAGTTCCTGATATTATTGAGAGTGTTTAATATTTTTGTTTAAAAAATTATTTGTATGTTATATCAATCATGTGAATGAGTGTTTTGCCTGCCTGTTATGTCTGTCTATCACCTGTGTGCCTGGTATCCATAGAAGCCGGAAGAGAGGGTAGGATCCAGTAGAACTAGAGTTACCAATGGTTATGAGCCACCATGTGGGTGCTAAAATCAAACTCCTAACTGCTGAGCCATTTCTTGAACCTCCAGTTTACCGACAATTTTATTGCAGATGTGAATTTGTCAAACACATTTCTTGCGTTTATGACCATGTGATCCTTTTTCTCTTTAGTCTAGTATTAGCCTGCTGCTGGTGAGGACAGTGACCCACCTTGGGCAGCTGAGACAGCCTCTCTGAGACTCTGCTGAGGTGCAGAACTTGTCGCACATCGCCTCATTTGCTTTGCTAATGTTTAAGGATTTTTACACCGCTGCTTCTGAGAACCATAAGCCTATAGTTTTTGCTCTTGTGGCATCCTTATGTAGGTTGGGTATAATCTCCCCACTCCACTTTCAATTATATTCTGAAATGAACATAACTGTTCACACTTTCCTTTGAGCGTGTTAGCTAGCATGGCATGCGGTTTCCTATTCATTTCCTTTCATCTGTGCATGATTTTAGTATGGCAACTGAATTTCTTGTAGACAACATATAGTGTGACAGGTTGCCCTGTTTTATTTGAGAATCCTGTGCATGCATACAACATGTTTTTGCTCAAGTCCACTCTTTTTCACTCCACTCTGATTTCTCCCCTACCCCCTCCACCACCATTTCCTTACAAATGCATATGCTTCTTTTCCCCCTCCACTTGCCAGTATTTTAATGGGTATGATCAGAACACTGACAGCCCAAATCATGTTGGCAAATCTGAGTCCGCATTTACCATCTTCATTACTGTTTTTGGCTGGTTACCCATATTTTGTTCCTACTTTTAACTTTCACTTCATTGATTGTGGATTTAAAATGCTTTTATTGTTAGTGGTTTTGCTTTTTGTTTTTCCCTCCTTTGGAAACATAGCCTCAAAGTGACCTAGAACTTGCCACATAGATCATGCTAGGCAGAAGCCACCACAATACTCCTGCCTCTTTCTCCTGAGAGCTGGAATTAGCAGTGTGCATTATCACACCCTGTATTGGTTTAACTGAACATTTTACATACATATATTTTCTCTCATTTCTTAGCATATCATTTTATGCATGCCATCCATACACCCTTTAAATGTGTGCTCTGGAGTGCACAATATACATTTCCAAGTAAGCAAGTCCATTTTCAAATGAGACTGTACCACATGATATTTGATGACCTCGTAATAACTAAGGGATACTAATTCTTACCTCTGTCCTTCAATCATTTCTAGTTCATTTCACTTAAGCATAAGCATTCTGTGGCCGTAAGCATATATATTTGACATACACACAATCAAATACATATTTGTTACAATTTCAAATTGTTATCTATTAAAACAATTAGAAATAGTAAAATCAATTTTGAAAGGGTGGAATAGAAAATGAGTTTTGGGCTTGCGCTCACTTCACCCTTGTTCAAGCTCTTCCTTTCTGCATCTATACATTTCTAACATATTTCTTTTTCTTCTATCCCAACACCTCCCCTAATATGGGAGATCCCAGGCTAGCCTCCAACTTGTTGACATTACTGGGAATGACCTTGAGTTTCTGACCCCTCTATCTTCACTTCCCAAGTGTTGCTCATGCAGTCATACAGCACCTATATACACAGGTGATGTGG